ATTAAAATTCTATTACTCTCTTTGACATAGTATAAAATGATTCAGAATGATTCAGAGTATTTTTGCATTTTTTTCTACATGAATTAAGTAAAAAAGATTGTAAGAATAGAAGTTAAAGGGTTAGTTCAGCCAAAAATGAAAATTCTGTCATTAATTAATCACCCTCGTGTTGTTCCAAACCTGTAAGACCTTCGTTCATCTTCGGAACACAATTTAAGATATTTTTGATGGAATCTGAGGGGTCTCTGACCCTCCCATAGACAGCAAGGTAACTGCCACGTTCAAAGTCCAGACAAGTACCAAGATGATCGACAAAGTATTCCGTGTGACATCAGTGGTTCAACTGTAAAGTTACAAAGCTATGAGAATACTTTTTTGCACTAAGAAAACAAAAATAACGACTTTATTCCACATTTTCGTCTCTACTGCGTCACTTGTGCGTCACCAATTCTCTTTATTTTTATTGATACTGCTTAACATTTTTTACTTTTTATTTTAATGAAATGACACTAACATTGTCATTTTTTACGTCTCTTCACACAGTCTCCTAATCCCAGTGACCCTTCTAAGAAGGTAGACGTCAGCTCGGGTAGCTACCTACAATATAATGCTCTCCGAGCCAACCGTCCCATCCTGCCCAAACCTGTACAACTGACAGTTATGGAACCAACTCTATCATATACCATCGGCCAGACAACAGGCCGTGAGACTCTGAGAGGCAAGTGCGAGGCCTGTGGGGTTGAATTCGAATCCAGGGCTGCAGCACGTGACCATGTCTTCTCAGCTCGACATCTTGCCACTCTGAGAACCACTAACTTTGGTCAGCAAGCATCGTTGGTCAGCAATGGATCTGGTACGGGGTCTACTGGTGTTGCCAACCAGTCTTCTACCCCATCACCAGCAAGCAGCTCCAGCTAAACAATGAATTCAAGCTGGTTTTGTCTACAGACCCACTAGACTTGTGGGCTTTCAATAGAGAGAAGATGGGTGCTTGTCTTTTAAGCTAATGTTCTTTTGAGGTTCTAAAATTGGAGCGGGCCCAGTTGACTCTGGCCATCTTCGTTCTCTCTCCTTGGATATCAGTGAGACATTATTATCATTATTATATAGAGTCTTTGCTTACAGGGCTCTTTTTAATGACCTATTGCCACAGCATCATTTTACTATAAATAATCTACTGAAATAGTAATCATGGACATGCTAATGCTTATGTGATTATGGTCCATCTTTCACAATTTCATCTCCGTTTAAACTCCTCTATTATGTTGTGTACTATTCTACTCACATTTACACAAAACAGTTTTGAAGCACCCAAAAAACTCAACCAAAGTGCTCTGGGTTGTCAATTATGTTTGTGGTACTGCTTTTGCTTGAGCCAGGGTGGTCTTTAAGCCTGTTTTTTAAGTCTATATAGAAGAGTAATTTCTAAGCCGATTTATCTCCAATCATCTTGTTAATTCAAATAAATGTATTCTGAAAACAGAAAACAACCAGTTTTCCTTCTGGCTCAGTTGAAAGAAAATTCTAGACTGTGCTAACAGTAGATGGTAATGAAATGACAAATAAGACAGAGAATGTGTAGTCTGGAATATGGAGAATTTGGGAGAGTGTTCTGAATCCAGATACATTAAAATGAGGATGACGTTAACAATACGATAGCTATTTTTGAACAACCATCATGACAATCCTGTAGTCATCAGCAGAGCTGTCGTTGATCGTTAAAGTTGTCAGATGGTCATCATACAGCACTTTGACCCTTTTAAAGTCTCAAACATGTTTTTTTAAGGTTTTCGTGTTCCGCAAAATAAACATAATTTTGTTGTATGGTGAAATCTTAGTGTATGTCAAACTATTATGAAGTATTAATCAGCTTTTAATGTTATTTTTAAAGGGTTTGCATTGCACATAGTTAAACACCGACAAAAAAAAAAATGGATCAGACCTTGCCGCTGTGCACGAAGCCAAAGCCAAATCTGTACTTACACAATTTTATATGGATTTGTGGAACATCGAAATTATATACCTTATACCCTCTGATAAACCATTTCATTTGGTTTGGATTTTTAGGGAGTAACCCCAGCTTGTCAATATAAATCAAACACAAAAGTCATTTATTTATGGTAAAAGCAAAAGCATTTTAGAATTATGGGAGAGAGTTGTCATCTTTTTTTTTTTCTTGTTCTTTCATTAAGCATTTTGTGTTGTTGCAAACAGAGTGCTCATACTGAGTAGATTCAAGTATGTTTTCTAAAACTCACCAGGAGAGAAGACAGGGTGCTTTAGTGGACCTGGAAACTACTCATCAGGGCAACAGGAGGTGTGATTTGAAGGACATGAAATACTAAAGACGATTTTCCTTTTTGGTTTATGTTGTATATTATTATTGATACTATTAATACTTTAACAAAATGCAAAACTAAAAAAGATTTTTTTAATGAACTATATTAAGAAAATGATATTCCAAAGTTGTTATTCTTCTTGCTTTGTCTCATTAAAGAAACCAAAAAGCAATCTTGATTGGAAGTGTTCGTAATGCAAACCGCAAATGGAGCTCCCATGCCTTGACACTTTGAACTAGTCCAGGGTTTAAGCATGAGCTACAGATAAATGCATTTCAGACAACTCCGCTTGGAACACTTGAAGTTCATAGAAAAATTTTGTTTTCGCTATATCCCAGTAAATACAAGTTGTTTTTGTTCAACTTGGTGTCAAGTTGTAGCTCATATGAAATTAACATGGACTGGGTTGTAGTGCAGTGCTACAGGACGTGGGATCCCACGGTGTTGCACTGTTCAGAGTATATAGGTAGAATATGGAGAAATGCTTTTATATTATCTTTTCACTTTTTCATTGACACTTGATTATCACTTGTTATAACTGTACTACTTACTATTTTTCAGTACTTTCATCACTTTTGATTATTATTGATTCATAACGGTTTTAATGGCATCTCAGACTTAGAGATGTCATTGATATGAATATTGAACGATAATGGTGGCAGTCTTATGAAAAATTTGAATATTGATTAAGCTTGTTTCCCCCTCACTTGTACCTTCATTTTGTGTTGGTTCTCCTTTTTTCTTATGCAGAAAACAAATAAACTGAAGTTCATGTATTGATGTTTCTCTTCATTGTGTAAATTACCATTATCATTTATGTAGATATATTAATATTTTATGTTTAAGTTGTATGTTGGCAGCACTAATTAATATAAATATTATGGACATTCTTGTCGGGGTTTTCAGAGAAATGAGTACAATATTTTAAACGTATATTTTGTCACCCAACACTGGGCTTCAAATGTTGCTTGATGTGGAAGACAAAATAACAAATACTGAAAAAGTAGGCCTATTCATGTCACATAGTGGGTAAGACTTCGGGTGAAGTTATATTGAAGATTTAGAAATTCCACTGTGCATTGCATTGTTGCCAGATCTCACTTGAAAGCAGTCCAAAATAAGTGACTCTTGCATAAATCATACATTAAACAAGAGTACATTCCATTTTGAAAATGTACTTTAAATATGTACATTCTTCATACATATACAGTATCTCACAGAAGTGAGTACACCCTCACATTTTTATAAATATGTTATATCTTTTCATGTGACAACACTGAAGAAATGACACTTTGCTACAATGTAAAGTAGTGAGTGTACAGCTTGTATAACAGTGTAAATTTGCTGTCCCCTCAAAATAACTCGACACACAGCCATTAATGTCTAAACCGCTGGCCACAAAAGTGAGTACACCCCTAAGTGAAAATGTCCAAATTGGGCCCAATTAGCCATTTTCTCTCCCCGGTGTCATGTGACCGATTAGTGTTACAAGGTCACAGGTGTGAATGGGGAGCAGGTGTGTTAAATTTGGTGTTAGCGCTCTCACTCTCATACTGGTCACTGGAAGTTAAACATGGCACCTCATGGCAAAGAACTCTCTGAGGATCTGAAAAAAAGTATTGTTGCTCTACATAAAGATGGCATAGGCTATAAGAAGATTGCCAAGACACATGAAAATATATAATAAAATATTTACAAAAAATGTGAGGGGTGTACTCACTGTGAGATACTGTATATATACAGTGTATATATATATATAAAATATGAATATTCCAATATTTGCATAAAGGCCATCTACAACTATTGGTCATCAAAATGAATGATTAAATTTGTCTTTTGTGCGCACACATGGGGAATGGAAAAGGGAGAAACAATTCTTAGAAATTGTACAGTATGTAACACAACTTATACAACAGTATGAGACACTTCATTTCTGGCAATATTGTCATCTTGACTGCACAGACACTATTGAAAGAAAGCTGAACTGGATGAAGACATCACTGAATCATTAATGAACTGACCTTAACTGAAAAACTGACTGTTTGTTATTGTCCTCTTGCATTATTGACAAACTATTTTCCTGTGTGACACTGTAAAGCTGCTTTGACACAATCTGTATTGTATAAAGTGCTATATAAATAAAGGTGACTTGACTGGATTTGACAGTAGGTGGGGATATAATTATCAACAGACAAAAACAAACATCCTGAGATGAAAGGAGAGAAAATAAATAAATGAATAAATAAAGCACACTGTATATAATCTAATTCCTGATATTTGACAACTGAACTGCTTTAAGTGGTTGGTAGTACTTTATTGTGCTATTTAGGCCAAGTACTAGGAAGCTTAAATATGTTTAAAGTGTGTGTGTGTGTGTGTGTGTGTGTAAATCAAAGTGAATTATATTGAGCGGACATGGCAACATTGCATAGTAGCTATAATCCTCTACAAACACCGTTTCAATCTAAAGGTAGTCTGTCAGCCGTGATTGACGCTGCTTTTACCCAATCACAGTCGCTGTTGGTAAAGTATAAGCGGCGAGCGCAGAGAAATATCCCAAGAGAACACCAATAACCGTTCTCGATACGTTAAGAGGGCGTGTCTAAAGTGAGGAATTGTCCAATCACCCATCGATGGTGCGCCTGCAGGGCTCAGAATCCCCGCCCACGGCTTCCATTTCTGTTCTGGAACACACGAGCCCTCGCGAAGAATACACATTTGCTTTGCTTTTTTGAATTTGTCTTCTAATGTAAATAGAGTAGTAAGTGCGACATATTGACGAAGTTAAACTTATTTATATTTGAATAAATAGTGTTGTTTTTTCCGCTAAAGGACACGTTTGAGCTCCAGAAGAAGCGAGGCGGGCTTTTACTCCCCATTTTAACTTTAGTGAGCGGCGTTTTCCGCCGTTTTTTTATTCCCTCCCCTGCCCCTCTCTCTCGCTCCCCCCCTGTGAGAGTCGAGGCCTGTAGTGCAGCCACGAGGCGCGTCGGACCACCGGGAATAAGGCGATGGCGGAGTTTGGTAACGGACTGGCAGAGGAATCTCTGCTGGACTCAGACCCGGGACACTCAGAACTTGAAGACCCAGGCGTCGGAGATGAAGAACCTGGATTAGACGAGGGAGAGGCCGCTATTGAAGATCCGGTGAGTGAAGGACGCATTATACTCTCTTTAATAACTAGTTGTTTTCATATTGAGAACTCCCCCCAACTTCACATTCAAAAGAAATATGTGAATTTCATACGAAATACAAATATTAATGTTAACGCGAAACCGGTTTTGCCAGGTCGGTTTGTCCGCCATTGTGGCTCACGCAGTGCAGTAGAATTAGTGAGTGACATGCGTGCTGTTGGCCGCCATGTTGGCGCAACATCGGTCTGGGTTCCTCTGCGCCAGATCTGTCGACCTAGCGGGGGAAAAAAATCTTCATTGCAAAAATGCGAGACGGGAGATGTGAGAGACAGGGGCGAGGGTAGGACAGGCCGCCATTAGCCGCAACAGTGTGGGTCCATCCGCAAAGAAGCAGACGGCTCACGGTAAACACGCCTCTTTTCTGATCAGTAATATTTGTGCCGTGCAAAAGTAAGTCGCGTTGGTAACGTTAACTGCGCGTGATTGTTGTTGGCCTCTGCAATGGAATACATCTTTATGCGACGTGTGTGACATGTAAAAAGAGGCGTGAGATGCTTTTTATTTTCAGAGTTTGCGTCGAATTGGGAACATTAAGGAAAACTACAGAGTTGTCGGTGGGCAAAGCGCACTGTATGTAATGCACATCTGTATCACCGTGATGATTTTTTGCGTTAAAGATTAAATGCCGCTCGTGATGTATTGCATCATTTGTTGGTGATTTTGTGATGGGGATGGTGCATTAGGGCTGGGCTGGTGCGTTTCTCTACATGCACATTAACATTATTGGAGCTATAGTAGGTCATGCATTTGCATGCTGAATGCATGTCTGCTTTATTTCATCATGCAGTGAGGATCTGTAGTATTTAAATAATTAGTCACTGTTGATCGTATCATGGAAAATCTTGTTTTAATTGCGTGAAAGAGGCCATCACATGCATTCTGGGATACTTTACTCGCGATCCAGTGCGACTCCCACTGCCCTGCAATGCAGCACTGCTGAAACTGGTGTGCGTGCGTGTGAACACACCAAAAGTGTGTTCTCTCGCGCACAACAATGCGTGCACGGATGGCATCATGCTTAGGGCGTCTTGCTGACTGGACAGTAATAAATGGTGGTTTGAAAGCGCTCAGTGCACGGTCCTGTGTGAAAGTGCATGTGCATGCTGTGTCCACGATCACTGGTGAGAACTAATGTGTGTGCATTCTGGGAAAGAAATTGGTTGTGCGTTTCAGAATGGGTTTAGCAGCAACACATGATATTGATGCACTATAGATCCAATGTGGCTGTCGATGAGGGACACCAAAATCATTTATTCAGGATGTAGTTATGCAAAACGTTCAGTTCCAGTTTTGTTAAATTACCAATATACTGTGCTTTTTGATGGATAAAGTTAATATATGTGCATTACTTTGCCTTTTCAGGAGCTGGAAGCAATTAAAGCCCGGGTGAGAGAGATGGAGGAGGAGGCAGAGAAACTGAAGGAGCTACAGAACGAGGTGGAGAAACAGATGAATCTCAGTCCTCCACCTGGTGAGTGAGACTAAATGAATGAATGAATGAATGAATGAGGGAGGTGAACGGGCAAGTCTGGGGAAGATTGAGCTCAAAGGAGAGCACTGCAAAACAGACAGGGCTGATGAATATGACTGCATTAGAGGGAGAAGAATAACTAGTACTGGACCATTTGAGGTCAATCGAGATATGACTAGAAACTGAACGTATCCTAGATTTCAGCCGTGAAGCTATGCAGTAAACTTGCAGACAATGGTTTCTGTGCTAAATCACATGCTTGCATATGGCGATGGATGAGAGTTGCATGGCAATACAGTGTGTTTCTCTTTGCAGCTGGTCCTGTCATTATGTCCATTGAAGAGAAGATGGAAGCAGATGGGAGATCTATTTATGTTGGAAATGTATGGGTGATTATTCTCACTCCTCCTTGGTTACGAGCTGTATTTATGTATTTTGTTGCATTTAATATTGCATGCATTTTGTTTAATTTAATACTACATTCATATGTTGCATATAATATTGTGTTTGTCGCATGCCATAATATTTTTCATAGCATGCTTGATTTAATGACATGTTAGAAGTGGTGATTTGATTTTGTCTTTTGCAGGTGGATTATGGTGCGACGGCAGAGGAGTTGGAGGCGCATTTCCATGGCTGTGGTTCTGTAAACAGAGTCACCATCTTGTGTGACAAGTTTACAGGACACCCCAAAGGGTAATTCATGCATTCCTCTGTTTGTTTTTCTCTCTTAACCTCCACTTGCTTATCTTTGACATTCGTCTTTTTCTTTGCCATCTTATTTTCTTGTTCTCCGTCGTGCAGCATCTGCTCTGAGTAGGCACCGTAGGTTTAGGGGAGGCACTGATGCATCACCTCAACCCACAAACTGAACAGTAGCCATTGAAGAAATGCACAAATATTCTGAAATTCAAGGCATATTGGCAGTGATACTAGTAAAGACGTTTTGTTTAATAAAGCACACGTAATTTCTTATTATTTTAAACCTTAAAATAACTTTTCTCTTCAGAATCGATATGAACATAATTTTCTCTTTTTGAATGGGCCACTCGGTATCTGTAGGCACAGGCCTTTTGTTACGTGGCATGGTTTTACACGGTTTATATGTGATCTTGAGACTGTGAGGTGTGAGATTTTTTTTCAGCTGTTGTGGTATTCTGGTGCACAGTGTTTTCAAGCTGTTTTCAATTTTGCCACATTGCATAGGGTAACTTTTGATGCAAAACTTTAATCACAGCTTCTTTGAACACAGTGTTCTGTTCATATTTTTTTACATTTTTAACAATATGCATATTTAGTTTTTGATGCCTGCATCAGTGTGATTTGATGCAACACAGCTTCTTTGAACACAGTGTTCTGTTCATATTCTTTTACATTTTTAACAATATGCATAATATGCATA